TGCAAGATGATCTGATGTTGGAAATTATTCTGAATTGAAAATAGTTGAACTGCCTCCACTTTAATTATCTTAATTGCCACCAGAAGTTATGATGAACCTAAGTCTTACTTACCTACAAAATATTTAGCTGTATGTCCAACCGTAGCAGACGTGGTTAACGTGATTATACAAATGGCCACACCTTCGGTCAAATTTTGGCGATGTTTCGAAAAAAATACGCCATATTTGTTGTGCCATGATTCAATTTATGGCTGATGCAATTATACAATACATACATATACAATATATACCTATAAGTATATATGCACGCTTTAACTAAACTGTCAAGTGCACATCAATTAACTCGCAACCATCTTACATGTAGATTTTTAAGTGCTCAGTCATTCCACCTGCTCATGTGTGTTGAATACACGTGGTGTGAGTAAATACACCCATTTTATTGAATATCAAATATTAAAAATTCAATGCAATTTTGTGTGCGTCTATTACCCTATGAAATTCGGCCAATAAATTCATTTACAGGATCAGTACAATGTAGAAAAAGAAATTCGCAAGCAGAAATTGATTAAGCAATAGGCAGTGATACAATTTCTCTTTAGATATTTACCAACATTCGTTTCTAAGGTTTGAAAACAAAAAACAATGTGTTTTTCCTTCCTTTAGTAATTGAAGAAAGTTAGATATAAAAAAAAAATTACCTACAAACTGCTTCTTAATAGATTGAAAAATGCTGTAACCAAAATCGTGAATGTTATCTTTGCAAGATTCTGCATTTCTGTGGAATCAGAAAGCGAAAAGGAAAGCATATGGTATTTCGAAAGAATGCAAAAGAATATAGTTTCTTATCTATTATGGAAGATATTAACTGCTGTTGTTCGATACCGCAAGCGATTTCAATAGTATTTTCAAGATTCTAATCACAGTAGATCTTTTTGCGGTAGTCAATTTTATAATTGTAAATTTTTTACAACAACTTCTTTGCTTTGCTAATTTAGTGAGTATTCTTTTTTCGCCTATACTTTACAAACACCGAACACCCATCACCGATTGTTTTAAGTATCTTAAAAATATCTTAGAATTATCTTTAGCTTCTCAGATTAAAAAATTTTTAGGAAAATAACTGATAAATTATTAAGTCGATGCATCTCCCCTTTAGCATATTTGATAATGATGTGAAGCTCGAAATTTAGCGACTACACAACTACAAGCGAGGAGGCGCGTTTTCATTGGTCGATGTTATTTCTCCTTTGCGTGCCATACTTAACACACATTCATTTAATTAGTTAAATTTTTTTTTCGAAATGTAGTGTCGTATTCGTATTTTCTATTGATCGAATTTCGACCACTAGTGACCCTAGAAATGGGATAATTATAATTTAATAGAAGCATACTTATGGGTTAAGCCAGTCTAAAACCCTCTGTGGATTTGAGAGGTTTAACGTCACAATTTACTCTAGGAGAAAGGAAATGGAAATATACTTTCTTTTATTCTAGCTTTATTAAGCATGTATTGGAGTTTTCAAAAAACATTTTCTATATATTGTATAACAAAATAAAAATCTGAATCTTAATATATTAAAACTTGCTAGTAAATCACGTAGATGTTGAACTTAACTTCAATCAAATTCTAAAATGACGAACATTTAAAAGAGGTTTATAGAGAAGTGGTTTTTCAAATAAAATACAATGATGGCATCTCTTGTAAGATGTTGAAACGTATATTAGGAACTTGTTGAAAGTTCTATTGAAATTCTATTATTTCACAATAGAAAGTTACTAGATAACGAATAGACAACTGAAAAACTACTTTCACATTCAAGAAAACAAAAACATGTTTTCTTCTTTCATGAAAGTTAATTAAGGAACATACCTAGTGTAAACTTAAAAAGTCGATAGGTTATACTTTTAATTCCCAAAAATCGCTTTTTTTTAGGCTGTCACACTGTGTCTATTAAGACTATGATAATATAGGAGAATAATGGTCAATTAAAATCTCGAATAGTATTACCTCTTATACAAGCAAGTAAGGCATTTGTTTGCCATCTATGATATACTTAAAACCACATTAACTAACTAACATAACTTGTGTATCGGTATTTATATATGTTTGTACTGGATCATTGGCTTTTTATACACAATTAATTGCAAGCTGTTTCAAATAATCATTACAATACACACACAATAAATAAAAAATTGCAAAAAGTCACAAAAAAGAAGACTTTTCCCCCATTAAATAATTTCCATCATTTAACACACACTTAACGCATCGAACAACGGTAATACGAAAGCAAAATAAAATCACGTCGTAACGGTAAAGAGGTGTATTCAAGCGCATCTTAAGTACAGCTGCAACCACCTGACCGACTACACGAGTACATTAAATGTAATGTGTGCTGTTTGATTCTTTAGAATTATATAGTTAGCAAAAGGTGTAGCCAGCAAGCTGCAACAAATTAGTGCATAGGCGTTCGTGTGCCGTGTGGAAAACATTTGCCGGCTGGCTTAAACCCATACGATAACGGTACTTTAAACACAGGCCACCACGAAGTTGTAAAATTCTAAGGTGGTGAGTGCAAATACCAGCCCACTGGAGTCAGCTGGCGATGGCGTGTGGACTAGCTCGCCTCTACGCGCCACTCGTCAACCAACGCCAGAGGCACATTCACCTTTTAATCACCCGCAAAGACTTGTAGGCAGCAAAAGGTCAGGTAGAATGACTGCAATGACTGTCAGCAGCAAAATAAGCAGTTAGCAAAAGTCTATAATGACTATCAACATCGTTAGCTTTTATTTTCTTTCTCTCGATGTTAATTGTACTTTTGCTTATATCAGTATGGGTATTTATACCCATATGAGAACGGCATTGCTACATACAAATTAAGTGCACTCAAATTACACTGACAAGTCGGGGCGTATGAGCAACATACTCGTTTGGTTTATTCTCTTGTTTTATTTATACTGAATTTTCATGATACCCACAAGTTGTTGCTGTCAGTTTTTAGTCAGCTTTTAGTTAGACCTAGTGCTTGTATTTTGTAGTTTTAGTTTTATAGCTGTTGTTGTTGCTGAACGATAAATTGGCTTGTGAAACATGTCAAAATTTCATGCAACAGTAAAATATTTTCAAAAAACTAGTTTGGAAGCAATTTTGAGTTTTGATTATGCGGAATGGTATCAATTTTGAAAAAAAAAAATTTTAAAAAGTGATACAACAGTTTGCATTGAACGATTTATTTATTATTAGTGTAAAGTGGACATAGCCTAGACCTCAGCCACACTAGTATATAAACAATAAAAAACAAGAAAAAATTTCGGTTGTACCTAAGCTATAATACCCTTCACAAATAAAAAAGCTTCCAATGGCAGCTAAATACTATAGTCGTATGATATCTGCGGTTCTTGCAGCTTCATGCAGATAAAATTATTTGAGCAAAATTTCAGATCGATATGTCAAAACTAAGGGACTAGTTCGCATATATATATATATATATATATCATGTAAGACGAAGGAATAGTCAGACGGATAGACAGACAACTAGCATAGCTCCAGTGCAACCGAAGTTAACGTTTTTTCTTATTTTTCAATGCAATTTCTGAAAGTATACGCATTAAACAATTTATTTTTAGTGTAAACTAGAGAAACCAGCCTTAGAATTGTAAAAAAAGCTTATGAATATAGTTCATATAAAATAAAAATATTTTTCAAGGCATTCGAAAGCATAATTCAAATTATACATACAACATATGTGCAACCAGAAACACAAAAACATGCACAAATTACGGACAGACCTTATATAAATGTGATATGTAAATGACAACGAAAATTCCAAGAAAACATTTTTCTTGAAATCGTCGAATCACTATTAGGGAAGTTGCAGAGGATATTTTCATAACAATCGGCATATGCCATTATATTTTCTCGAATGTTTTGATCATGAAACGTGTAGCAGCGAAGTTTGTTCTGCATCACTATAATGCACCAGATTTGGCTAACTGCGACTTTTTCCTATTCCAAAAACTGAAGAAACCAATGAAAGAAAAGCGTTTTCCCCCAATTGATGAGATGAACTCAGAATCGTAGAAAGAGCTGATGGCCGCATCGAAAAGCGCATTTCAGAAGTGCTTCGAAGATTGGAAAAAAGCGTTGGCACAAGGGTATTATAGCCGAGGGGGATTACTTTGAAGGGGACAAAATAGATATTGATGAATAAATACAAAATTCATCTTTTCCTTTGAACACACATTCGTGGTACGAACCATGTTCGATTTCTTGTCAAAGATTTTTTTTCGCATATTTTAGTTTAATTTTTTATTTGTTTTCTGGAATAATTGATGGCAGATATGAATATGTTGTTTTAATTTGATTGTTTTGTTGATAAGATTTAAGATTAAAAACGCGATTTCACTCAAATAAATCGAATAAGTTTCTAAAACCTTTCAATTGAATTCTTATCTGTAAAAAGTTTCATTTTCATAAATACTTTCAGATGTCCGGTTTTAGACTACTTTAACCTTCCGATAAAAACCTGAAGCAAAAAATGGATAATTAAGAGATTTTACTCATTATTTTTCCTAAATCAAATATTTTATGAATGTTGTTAAAAAAACAAATTAAGTAATAGCAAATTTACGTAGGATCAGTTATAATGACAACCCTTTGACAGTCCTGTTATTAGATGACAGCAATGAAACTATTATACTCAAAAGGCAACATATTCTAGATGTCCTATTTAGGAATTAATTACAAAACATGTATTACTGCGATATTAAATGTATTTTTAAATTTGTTTATTTACCTAAACACAACAAATATGAACATATGATATAGTGTATATAATAATTGATCTGGAGATCAATAATATAAGTCAGATTATGATTTTATTATCTAATTTGCTTATTATGTTTTAAAATAGATTTCTAACAAAAAATTTCACATCAATCATTGTAAATTAATTTTTTTATATTAAATAGTGCTGTAATCTAATTTATTTTCTTCACAGGTTTGCACAGATTTTGACATACTTGTATCGGTAAGTGCAATAAAAATCGTATTTATTTTCACATTAAATAGATGGAGATCCAGTTTGCCCTTTGGAAATAAAATTTTTCTTAATGGATGCGCTATAAAGTTAACTCGAGTACTATATTCAATAATTCCACCGCGGGTTTGTCTTCAAGGCTTATGAGAACCGATTATTTATGTCAAAGATTTGCCGTAAAGATCTCCTGAATTGGCGTACAAAAAAGATATATTCAGCACCAGCCGGGATATTTAGAGCTATGCTATTTTCAAAACCATGTCATCTCTTTAAAAAATATCTCATAGCCGATAGACATTTCCAATTTTCATGTGAAAATTATAGAACAATACCTAGTTTTTTTCATCTAACGATTCTTTGTATCACTTAAAACTAATCGACCGTCTGACCGTGCATGCGATAACTCGAGAAAAAATTGAGATACTTTGATGAAACTTCTACATACTCGCGTAAGAGGACTACTGCCACAAAACGCCATTAAACGAAAACATATAAAGTGTATGGTAAGGGGATCGCATTAAGGAAAACCATCTGTGGTTTGAAAATCTTTAAAAAGTGGGCGTGGTCCCGCTCTCTAATAGGTTCAATGTATATACCTCCCAAAGACTAACAAGAAGACTCTTTAGCATATCTCAATACATAGCGTAAAATCAGTTAATAACCACGCCTACCTCCCATATATCGATTATGTTGAAAACTGCTAAAAATTTCATCAAAATTTGGTGTATTACATTACCCACGCATTTCTATTATACGCTGTGAAAATGGACGAAACGGACGACAACGACGCCTCCTGCCCATATAACAAGCTTTTAAATTACATATAATTCTTTCATTTTACAGTATACAAATAAAACGTCAATGAAGTTGCCAGAATAAAACTTTGCACAAACATTTATCTGAAGATATTTCATTATACGCCCAAAAATTGTCGAAATCGGACTATAACTTTTCAATTCCCAGACAGCAAATATATGGATCCCAGTGCATATGGCTGATTTTTTACAAAACATATCGGTCAACCTATGAGGGCTAGTATTAAAAATGAGGGATAATATATTTGTGATGACAGCATTCCTTGTTTAATATAAATTTTTGAAACACCTGAAAATATTTCCCCGCCTATTGTCTTTCTCATTGCAGAAGTATAAAATGTTCGGTTACACCCGAACTCAGCCCTTCCGTACTTATTACCTTATAAGAACGATTAAAAAACCATAACCTTCAGTGTTAAAGCATTTAGGTTTATTTAAACTCAATTCTAAACAAACACACAAAGTATGTTAATTAGTTGAGTTATATAGAGCTGGTTATAAATCCCACACATTGTATAGCTCAGACTTTGAATTTCTAACCAATTTTATACGATTCTTTAGTATCATAAATTTACTTGGATTTCGACATTGCTTGTTGAAATGTGTTTTTTTTTTTAAAAAGAGTTTTATTTAATAAACAAATAAAAATAATATTTACAGAGTTTAATGTACTTCAACAATCGGCGGTTCATTTTGAAAAAATTTTAATTCCACTAATCCCGCAGCCGTTCTCATGGAGGATCTCCGAAAAAAGCTGTCTGGCGGTGGGAATAATTTTTTGCTTATAATAATCTCAAATCCAAAAACTAACAAAATGTATTATTATTAGATAAATATACGTAATAATGGAAAGACTAATCAAAATTTTGTTTTTCGGAAAAATGACAGTTCGTTTTTTGTGAAAAAATTTACAATTTAGAGAGGCTTAGAAAATCGGAATTATTATCAACAATTTTATTCCTGCGATCATAACCTGCCGCATATATCTAAGAAGGTGATTTGAAAATTTCAAAACGATTTGTCTGGTCGTTTCGGAGACATTTTTCTTACCGATTCTGAAACAGCGTTTCGATTAAACCGTTTAAAGTTTTGGGAGTCGATTACACTAAATTACAAAATTTTTACAAATACGCTTATATTATATCTCCGAAGCTGTTTGCTGAACAACTTCACATTTTCGGAGAATATTTTCAAATTTAATATGTGCATTCGATATGTAAGCAAAAAAAATTTTACTAAATGACCTATGAGTAAAGCAGAAATGTGAAGTTTTATCCAGAGAAGATTTTTATCTACTTTTTTCTCTCTTCCTCTTTGTTTAACGGGTTTCAAAAAGCAAACTTTTGTAATTCTTCAACCATTTTTTGCTTTTAGCTTTAGGTAAGTTTCCAACAGAAATGTAGAAAGAAGTATTGCCAACCCCTAAACAAGTTTTCTGTACAATAACATATAAAGATATTGAACGGATTTATCATAAGGTCTTTTATGCAATCAATAATACATTCGCAATGGCTTCAGTAATTCGCAAACAATTCAGATAATAAAAATTTAAAATTTTTGTTTCAAACTGTGTATACCCGTGCATATATTGATGTAAACATACATACCTACTTCCCAACAACATCAATTAAGCGCTTCCATTGACTGACCATACAATTTGAGTAACCATTTATTCGTTAGACCGCCAAAACTTCCAATAAGCGTAAAGCGTGTCGTGCTCTTTTGTTTTTTGGCATTTGTTATCCACAACCGCGTATTGTTTGGTCATTTGATGACCTACGCAAACAGCAAAAATAAAGTTTAGCCAAAACAAAAAAAAAAACACAAACATTAGATGTCAATTTACAAAAGGATCACTCATACGCCGTGGCAGACACAACAGACTGTTGCTTCGCCAGGGCAAAGCATGACGATAGCGGGACATGATTTGTGAGGCTTTTGACTACATGTGCGCCCATTGCGTCATTGGTCAAAATACGAACGCTTGCAGGCAAATAAACGCACGCTTAAACACACACTCATATAGTGATAGCCTTTTAATGTAACGGAACCATATTTGAACGACGTTTGTCAAGAATAAAAGTGATTTATCATCGGATTTTCGAACGCCTAAAATTCGATTTCCACTGAATGAATGATGACATTGACGTTTGTATTGGGCGCGCTAACCACTTTTGGTTTGGCTTTTATACATACACACATACATATATACAAATGTATGTAAAGACCAAGCCGCAGTACATATCTATAAGTGTATATATACTCAGATCTACATTTTAAAGCAGAGAAAGAGAGCATTACGTTCGTGACGTCATTTCATTATGGTTGTTTGTGCAAACTGTATTTTAAATGAAATGTGCCAGTCACTTTTACATTTTTTTTAGTAACGCCCATTGCGTTTGACTAAAAAAGTTGTAAATTTTCCAAACCAAGGATATCATTGAATTTTCGCGTAAGGGATATCTATTGTATACGCCTACCAACGCGTTATTTTGCAGATATTTATAAAATAAATATTAAAGGGGTGCTGTTTTTGTGAACATGGTTTGATTAATTAAATGGTTTCAAAAAGCATTGAAAAAAGGGAGACTTGTTCCCCTTAAGATAACTACACTTGTGAATTCCAATAAATCGTGTTTTTTGCATTTATATTAAAGGCACACTTATTGTAAAACATTCTCCGAAAATTGGATTTAATTCGGCTAATTGTTTCAGAGATATGAGGGTATTTGTAAGAACTTTTTGACTTAGTATATCGACTCCCAAAACTTTAAACGCGTTCTCCTCGAAACCCTGTTTTCAAAGACGGTAAAAAAAATTTCTTCGACACGGGAGGACCGATTGGCTTAAAATTTTCCCACGACCTTCTTAAGTATATTTTCCAAGTAATAATGGAAGGAGTAAGATTTTTATACTCCTGCAACATGTTGCTAGAGAGTACAATCGTTTTGTTCAGTTGTTGTTGAGATAGATATAGGGTTATATTTATAAATGATCAGGATGACGAGACGAGTTAAAGTCAGGGTGACTGTTCGCCCTGCAAGCTGTAACTTGAGTAAAACTTAAGGTAACTTGATGCAACTTGGTACACATATTCCGTGGCACCATTAAAAGTATTTTATTGTAGTACGCCCACCTATCGGGCCACTGAGTCGGTCACAAAACGCCATTAATCGAAAATCTATAAATTGTCATAGCTAAGCAGCAAATTAAATTGTTATTTGGTACAATCAAGCATCTTTAAAAAGTGGGCGTGGCACCGTCTCCTATAAAGTATATATTTCCCAAACCAGTCGAGCTATATGACCCAAATTTGGACAAGACAGATCTTTTCGACCCATCTTACGAATGTCAATAATAGGTCGACTAAAAGGTGGATTAATTCCAAACTTAAGCTAGTATAAATAGTCAAAGTAAATTAGTATCCTTCTTCAACTATTTTATGTTGACTAGCGATACTACCTTATACTAAACTCATCCTACAAGTCTAGCTTCGAAAATATGTTAAACTATCTTGAGCGCAAACACTTCCTAAAAACTATAAAATGTACTTCCATGAAGTTATAAATTTTTGTATACTCGACTTAAAATCTTGCATAATCAGATTTACTTTTCTTTTATTATGTTTTAAACAATATTTCCAAGAAAGCAAGCTTTGAAACAATATAGTAAAAATATTTCACCTTAAAAAAAAAATTAAATTCACTTAACCTAAAAATACAATTTTTGAATATAATATGATCCCTCAATATTTTATTAAAAAAAATAAATAGTACTATTTTTAAAATATTTTTTTAACTCATTGGAATATGATAAGATAATCTGTATAGATAGAAGTGAAAGGCATCCGTTTATTTGGTACGCTTATTAGTTGCAGTACTCAATATAAACTTTTATTTAAAAAATTTGCCAACACCAGTCCAAATATCGCTGTACCACGCATATAACGGGTATACATTATAAATAACTCATTTCTCCACATAGATAAATACTTGTCAGTTGTTGTGCAATTGATTTGAGATTACAAGAATACCTGTCTGCAACATTTCCCAGAATATATTAGCAAAACTTCCGCGATTAGTTCTGTGTTCAGTTTTCCCTTCAGCTACTCACACAAATTATCTAAACTTTGCTGGATACAATACTTAGCGTATGAATTTTTAAAACCCTTCTACA